TGAAGCTAACTACATATTATATACTTACAAAAAAATCTGTAAGTAAATGTTATAAAAAAGCTTTTAGTTCAGAAAAGCGTAAACATATTAAAACGATGCCTTAATTTATTTGAATTCATTTCGTTAGGAGACTACATTTTATAAGTTTCACCTTTTCAACGTGTGTCGTTGATCTATCTGTAATTGATGAATATCTCGTGGCAGATTACTCTTTTCAAGAGATAGATATAGGTGTATCAATAGGTCTTAAATAAATAATCACAAACAAGGGCGGAAGGGCCTAAGTGCGGGACATTAACAAGGGTCCAGTCCAATTTTCGTCCTGTCTACGTTGATATATTGAAGACCCTAGTGAAGCCGCTACGGACCGCCGCTGACCGAACATACAATTCATTTAACTTTTTCTGTAAATGCCATTCCGATACAACAATTGTTCTATTTAACATGTTATTTATTTAAAAAAATACTTTAAAAAACGTAAAAAAAAATGCAGTTATGGTATCGATTATTAGTTATTATTATTATTTAGTAATTTCTTTGAGACAACATTTTTTTATTAGAAAAAATATCAAAAATCCGGTTAGTAAAAGTCCCCGTGAAAGGATCAGTATCAAAAATGTTGCAATTACGTTGGCATAAAGTAAAGGGGCTAGGTGCAATGGCAGGAAACACATTTGGTACGCCCAAGAGCAGCCAGCCACAAAACCAAGGCTTTAAAAATTCAATGTGTACCCGACCGCCCTTGCATTTTTCGAGAGTACTAAAGTCTGCTTCGTTTATATTAAAGACCTCTATCTATTCGTTTTATCCGACAAGAAATATGCTTTCACTCTCATCGTCTCTTTATTTCTCTTAGATCCTCTTGGCTGTAAGAGATTATAAGGAAACCATTGCTGTCAATTTTGAAAGACATTTTAGCTTTGTTTTTTTTATCATAATTCTTCTTCAAGCTATTCGATTTTGTTCTATTTGAATAAGCATGACATCTCTTCATAATATTTTATTATTATTTCTTTACAATTGTTTATTATTTAGGTAAATAATCAGACAATTACTAAAATATTATTATATGAAAACTAATCTCTTTTAGAATTTTGTATTAAGTTTATATCAAAATTGTACGTAGTGAGGAAGAAAATGAAAATCGAAAAGTCTTGAAATAATAAAATAGATGTTACAATAAGATCGCGGTGAGTACAATGTTGCAATAAGCAATTTGTATGATGTATCCTTTTTAATACACAAATAGTGTTATTTCTTAAATGTTTAAATTTATTATACTCTTTCTAGTTATTCAAATAAAAGTTTTGTTTTTACAAAATAACTTTAAGCACTCATTTAATTTTCTGTCTTAGCCAATTTATTTTTTGTAAATTAATACTTTTTAAATTTACCAATTTTTTTAAGATTTTTTTTCACTAATACATATATGTATAAAATAGGTCATGGATACACCTAAATAAAAAAAGATTTATAATAAATTTAAATAAAATAACCTCGTAACTAAAGTACCTACTATTTGGGGCAAAAAAAAACCTTAACGTAAATATAATGACATTATAGCATTATTCATTTAAAAAGAAGATTTAGATTCAATTTCATAATCACATTTACCTCAACTCTGGTCTCAACAAAGTGAAAACTTAATAATAAATATATATTTATACACTAAGGATCGAAAAATACACCAAGGAGCATAGCTATTAAAGGTTACAATTATATAAAAATTAATAATGAAATTATGAAACAAAAAATGTCAAAATACTAACAAAAATGTTAGAGTATTATTATTTTCACAAAATTAAGAAGATATACGAATAATTTGCTTTAATTATACAAAAGAGAAAGTTACTTATTAGTTTTCCTTCAGAAGTTTTTCGATAATGAATACGCTGAGGTTTGAGTAGACTTTAAAAGCAAAAGTATGTATTATTATATTGTTTAACCAAATTTTATAATTGGCCTAGCAGCAGTAAAATGAGTAAATCCGACAAAGTAGTAACTCAGTTTAATAGTCTCAAATTAGGGTTAAACATTTTACGAGTAATAAAAAGTTTTTTAAGTGAGAACTTCAACAACGCTTGCTATGGAGTTGCCAGTCACAAAACTTGTTTAACAGAGAAAAATATAGTGCGTGTAAAGTCACACTTAAATAAAGTGTTTTTTTATAAGTCCACTTATAATAATTGTGAGACTAGATTAAATTATTAAAAATTAACTAACCGGATTCATAATAAAACACAAACAACTCTCAGTCTTGTATTTAGAAAAACAAAATAACAGCAAGAAGAAGAATTTGAAAAAGAAGTAGCGTCTAAAGAATTTTTTTGCTCAATATAGTATAATGAGCACTCTGCTTAAGTTACAAGCTTACTAATATATTGCTTTATTTAAATGTATTGCAATAGGAGCCTTTGTTACTAAATAATTCAAATTTAATGTACATTGTACAGATCGGTCTCAATAAAGTATTAGGTGTTTCGTTTTGTAGTAGGTATATTGGTTTAATTCTATAGAAACATGTGACCTTAATTCGTCTTAAACAATTCTAACGAATGAAATTTCTAATAATATAAATACTTTCAGCTGTTTCTAGTATGATCAAAAATTTAAGGCCACGGATACACTCTCTATATCAAGTCAGCTGACGGAGCCACTAATAATGGAGTGAATTTATTTGTATCTGTTCATTTGGAGGATTACTTTCATTTAAATGTCAAACATAAGTATTATGCACTTATATTATAAAAGGAACTGTCATTGTGGTAATTCCTGATTAAAAATATCAGTCTTAAAGTGATTTATAGAAGTGTTCGTTATTTAGTTTTTCCATAAAGTATTAGATTTTTCTAATAAATCAATTTCCTTCAAATTATATACTCGTATGTCTCGCTTTTACAGCAGTTGAAACTTTAAAATAACATTAACTTTACAACTCGTATTAACTCATCTGTTTTTTTAATTGAATTTAATTATATCCGATGCAGTTATTCATATCGCATTAACGATTTTGTTCAAGCAAAGTCCTATGGCACAATATGTTATATAGATTAACAGGGAATTAAATGCAATTTCGATAATGAAATTCGGAAGAAACCGAATTCATTAAACACTTTCCAACCGACATCCAATTAACTTGTTCGATATCTCACAAAACATGTATGTACCTATATAATATATTTATAACATTGTCATTTTAACAAAGATATTATTTTGTTTGTATGTTATATTGACGATTTTATAAAAGAAGTTTATATCAACAAGATAAACATTCGAAATTTTTATCGTATTCTTTTATAATATACATTTTTCTACCCGTTATAGAATTATAGAATTAATATTTCTGATAGAAAAAAACTAATTTAAAAATACCGCAATACATGTATTTAAGAAATATAAAGTTTGTGCCTATATTTATTAAATAATATTTGTAAATAAAAATAAAATAGATGTCACTGATATCAATAATGATTGAAGTTATTAGTCATAAAATTTAAAAAAATTGTTGAACGTAAATATGGAATAGAAAAAAAATGATTCTCAATTTATTTAGTAACAACAAATGTGTACCTACATAAATAAATAAATAAAGTCATTATTTACATATTTTCATATAACTGAAAAAAAATTTCATGATTTTATATTATTATAAAATGATTTTATATGTTGCATATAGTGAAACATAACCTTCATATCGTCTCATCTGGGTGACTTCCAAAGGGTTCGAACAAGCCACTTTTATAAGCTAAAGGACCACAGGTTTTATCATACGCTTCAGAAGATTAAACAGAAGGTTAGTTTAAAAGACCCTATTTGTAGCGTTTTCGTACCCTGAAAATGCTTTTGATTTGATTGAAAAGCCGTAATTATATAGCATCAGAAATGAAGTAGCCGGAGAATGATATCTATGATTTTCACATGAACACATTTAAAAATTGAACTAAGTTTTTTAGATAAATACGCGATTTAGAGACGACGCATAACAAGACTAACTTATAGACATTTTCATCTCCTATGCTCGTGATCATGATTGCAGAACAGTAACCGAAACGTCGGGAAAATATAGAAAAAAGTATTAAAAAATGAATTACTGACTAAAAACTAAGTTTCATTTTAGAAGTTGTACACTTTATTCATGTGGAAGAATTTATGCTTGAATGCCAAAATTTCAGACATGATATAGAACCCATATCTATACAAAACCAATTTAGTTGCAGTGAGGTGTATATAAACGATATGTTTTCTCTTCAATACGGTATAACACCGCACTGGAAAATAATTCAAAATTTCAGGACAAGACTTATCGAGATTAACTTCCAAAATTTGATATTGATATAGGAAAGTTTAATAAACTTAACAAAAAAAATTGTACAACCTTACAATTGTTGCTTCGACGCACCTAATTATTTTTCTATTCGTTCGAGAAAAAATGTATAAGATAATTTCCCGTTATGATGATGATGTCTTAGCATCACAACAACAACAAATCAATAAATTTTTTTCCAACACTTATCTAGTTATCACTAATTATGGGCCTAATAATAATTAAAAAAAAATATTTCACTGGTTTGATCAAAAAACTTTAGTAAAATTCACTTGTAACACAAGTTTCCTAATTCTTTGCTAAACAAATGCCTACAAGTAAAAAATTAGTGACTTTTTTATTTTTAAACAAATTTTGCAAAAGAGATTTATAATACTAATTAAATAATAGGTGTTCCCTGATGAATATTTTATTCAAGTCACTTTGTGTATACCAAAAAATATATGTTTTCTAGAATTATATTTTAATTTATAAAATACAATAAGGCTATTATACTCCACTATTAGTATTATAGTCTACCCAAGCCGATAAAAAATGTGTCATATTTAAGTTTATGAATAACATCAATATCATTGTCAAATTTGACATTGACAGGTTGTTCAATTTTCTTGTTATGTTGTTTTATCCCTTAAAGAAAGAATTTTAATGTTTTATTGTTACAAAATATTATTTAAAAATGGATGAGACTTATCCAAAATTAGTATCCTGTAAGCCTTTAAAAACTGAATTTCAACATTTAAGGGAAATAAATTTAGCCTCTGATGAAGTAAGTACAGTTATTTCATTTAATGTTATTGTATCTTACTTATTTTTAACTTTTGTTCTATGAATAACTGTTTTGTTTTTCAGTTTACTATTGGGCGAGGTTTGAATAACATGACCGTCATTCCATTTTTGTCTATTTCAAGAAATCATTGTAAGTTTCAAAAATGTGAAAATGATTGGATCATTAACGACAATAGCACTTTTGGTATCATAATAAACGGTAAGAGATTGGGTAAAGGTAATAACAGAATCTTAAACGATGGCGATATTATTGAACTCGATCCTACAAAAGAATTTGTGTATAATTTTAACAACACAGACGATGACTTTTTACCCTCACCAAGAAAACGCATTAAATTAGAACCCAATACATGCACTAATCTCATAAGCAATGTAAAGATAAAATTTGAAGAGTCCCAAAACTGTGAAATGAAACGCATTGAAGACAAAATAGAGAATACAAAACAAATGAAAACTACAAATCTGCTATTAAAAGAACAGCTTGAAACTGAAATGAAAAGAAAAATTAATATATTGGAAAGTGAATTTTCAAGTCAAATAAATAACTTGAAAGGTGAGAAAGATGAAGTACAGAAACAAAAGGCACAACTCATAGAAGAAAGGGAAACACAATTAACAAATCTAAAAAATGCTATGAATGAAAAACTGGAAGATTTAAAGGTATTGTCTGTTAATAAAAATAATATAATTTGGCCTAAAATAATCATTATAGTGGTCATATTTAATAATACATAAACTAACTTTATTTAAAATGAATTAATTTGTCTTATATGAGAACTCGCTTTCAACTTATAACAGTCTTTTTTTCAATTTATTTCTTGAATGGTTACCAACTTTACCCAATATGTTCAACTGAAATAACAGAATTTATTCAATCTTTTATTATAATACAATAAACAAATATTTTCTTTTAGGAACAAATAAAAAAACACAATGAAAGTGAAATGAAACTCGTCAAGGAAAATAAAATACTTAAAGAAAAGCTAAAAAAAGAGAGAGAGGAGTTTCTTTTAGAATTAAATCGGGAGTCTTCATCGAAACAGGAGATGTTGAAAAAATTAACGATAAAAATGAGAGAACAAGAAGAGTTACGGACTAAAGAAAAAAAGCAATTCCAGGAACTACTTGAAAAAGAAACGGAATCATTAAAACTTGCAAAAGAAAAGGTATGTCTAAAATATAATTGGTATCCATAAAAACTAGTGATTCAAATTACTAAAGAAATGGTTCTTTTAAATTCCATTTGGATTGACAACCTCTGGAATACAGCATATTAGATACAAAAGCCAATTGAATTATTGATATCTCTCAAATCTATTCAAAATTAATTAATCCATATATTTTACAGTAATATTGCCATAGTGGAATCGGGTTCATGAAAAGTTAATTTTAATTTATTAAATCAAAATGTTTTAATTTGTTAAATCAAAAGTAAGGATTGTAATAAAGTATTACATCTTATAATTATACAAATAACCAAATTTTTCTATGAAATATGTATAATCGTTTTTAAGACCTCTATATATTATAAATTTAATTTCAATTCCAAGAAAATTTGTATGTGAAATTTTTATATAACATAATAGGAGCTGAGTGAATTGACCGAGGAGAAGAGGAAAAAGGAATTGGAACTAATAACTGAACTGAACAATATCAAGGGTTCTTTGGAAAAACAGGTTGAGTTGACAGAATTACAAAAGAGGGAAGCATTACAAAAACTAAACGACCAAATGGAAGAAATGAAAAAAATTAAAAATGAGGATCAAATTAAAATGGAACAGTTGGTAATTACTATTATCATATGTATATATTACGAAATTATACAATTAAACAAATGTTTTGTATTTGTCTTGACAAACTCTTTGATTATATTTCACTAAATATGTATATTGTGTTCTATGGAAATATTGTAGAATACATATAAGAACAAAAAAATCATTAAAAATCTTAAACATTTTATAATTGTAGTTTAGCTTATATATGCTTTAAGCTCTAAATTAATTATCATTTGTAGCTTTTGTTGTTTCTTATTTTATTATAAAGCTACTGTATGTTTTTCTTTTAGAAAAATGAGAGGGAGGAAATTCAAAAGCAATTGAAAGAGGCTCAACAAAATGCGGTCGAATCTATTGAAAAATTGAAGGTTCGGTGTAGAAATTGTTTTAAATTATTAGTTATATACATATTGCATGTTCTGGTTTTCTATAATTTTTCTTGTTTTCACAGACTAGAGTGACAGAAAGGGAAATAGAGTTGGCAGCTTTAGCAGCGGAAAGAATTCAAAAACAAGCGGAACAATCTACTGAAGTTATAAACTCATTGCAGGAACAATTAGAGAGAGTATGGAAAAACTTAATATAAAATTAATAAATATTAAATTTTCAATATATGTAACTAATAATACTTTATCAAACTGTATATGATACATGAATGTAAGACTTCATACTTTAATTTTAGGTTCGAAATCAACTTCACAATGTAGAAAATGAGAACAAGAAACTTCTAGAACATAATACATCACCGGAAAGTAAGGAAGGTTGTTCTAAAGACACTATCACAGAATTTGGTGAAATAATGGAAAGTGAATTACAGTGTAGCATATGTGCTGAACTATTTGTTCAGGCTACAACACTTAATTGTTCGCATACATTTTGCAAATATTGCATTACCATGTGGAAAAAGAAAAAAAAGGAATGTCCAATATGCCGGTAAGATATTGTTATTTATACTTTAGAAAGAAAATAATATTATTTATATACGTATACTAGCGCCTCCTACTAAAAAAATATGTAACTAAGAACCATCAAGTAAAATGTTTTGTTATTATCTATGCAATAATGACAATTTAAAGTCAGGATCATTAATAGACACATTTCAAGTACCATTTCTGTATAAAGTTTTATTTTATTTAATATAACACAAAAAGCTATACTGTTGAATAATTTTAGCAGTCATAACCTAATAAAAAGCCTTTGAATATATTTGTCATTTTTGTCTTTTCAGTGCACCAATTACATCAGAGTGTAAAAGTTTAGTTCTAGACTCATTTATAGAGAAGATGTTGTTGAGTTTATCAGAAGAAATGAAACAGAAAAGGAGCAATTTACTCAAAAGTCGCGATGGTATGTTATTTTTTTTTTAATTCCAATACAAGGCAGCTTCATAATGTGCCAACATATTAAATATTTTTTGTAAAGATAAGCTAATAAGCTTTGCTGTACTATGGAGATAATGGTTAAGCATGTATATAAAACTGACATACAAATAATATACAAACAATTAATAGCTCATTACATTAATAATAATTTTGCTAAAAATATTGCTATCTTTATGAAGCTGTTTTGTCCACAGAGCTTGAATCTGAACTGGCGCGTCAAGATCATTCGAAAAGATACCGGTATGCATGTACATTTCATCATTTGTTTATCATAAGAAAATTTTACTAACAATAATTTTATAACCAAAATAAAGCCTTATAAAATCATTGCTTTACTAAATATTCTTGAACCAACTAGTTTATTTGTTGAATTTGTTGAAAAAAGAGAACAGATTTTGTTTTTTGTTTAATATAATGTAATATTTTAGAAGAAATTCGTATGAGCACGAAGAGGAAAGCGACTCCTTCGAGGAAGAGGAGGAGGAGGACGACGAGTGAGTGACTTTATTTAATACCATTTTCAAGACGCTTAAACGATTTTTAAAACTAGTGTTCCGGTATTTACCTGACTTTTATTGAAAAAAACCGATTAACTGTTCTGACATTTGAAGTTGTCAAAATCGAACCTTTTTTTGAAATCCTATCTTATGGAATGAATTTGATAAAACGTTTACCAGATTTAGTTGTAATTTTTTCCTTTTTTCTGGTTACTCTTTGAAATCGTCATCTTCATTTAAATAATTATTCTTCTTCTACCTAGCAATTTCCCAGCTATAGCCAGAGTCTGCCTTACATGTTGTGAATAGTTTTGGCTATTTGTTTTTACGACCAGCCGCCTGCCTGACATCAACCCTCTTTTGGGAATCAGCATTAATCAGTGATGTCTAAATACTCTTAGAAAGTAGTTACATATGACTCGGAAAAATCACCTTAGTATTTGCCCGGGCCAGTATCAAACCCGCGCACTCGTACATGAGAGGCGGGCCTTTTTAACCACTAGGCCACCACTGAATTCTTTTAAATAATAGTTATGTCATGCTAAATCTATTTCTTGTGAACCGTGTTAGTATAGTATCGATTGGTTTTTCTTCAGATATGTATAGTGAAAACTTTTGCACGTACGACCTTGAAACATCAGTCAACAATTTTTGTTACGCCTTACAATATACTCATGACATTCCTATTTACTATCTAACAAAATTAGAAGTAGATAAAACTTTTTTAACCAAAAGTTAGGCAATTACAATATCTTTAAAAATAATAATTCCTGTAAACAATTTGCTTTATGGGATAAGTGTACCAACTTTAGATCTACGTTTTTAGAATACTTGTAATTTGTATAAATACCAAAGTCATTGCTTGATTTAAATATGTATACATTTTTTATTTATATTCTTTTACAGCTTCTTCGACTACGGCTCGCTCAGCGACCATACCTATTCCAACAGTGGATCTGACTGGCAGGAGTTCGATGGTGATTCAACAGGTAATTGTTTGTTTAAAAAAATATATTAATAATGATAGATATTATTATTTCTTCTATCTATACTTCAACATCACAAGACAATGCATTAACCTAGTTAAGGGTTTGATAAAGAATGTACTTTTTAAGAAAAAAGTATTTTTACCAACAAATGAACAGAACTGTCTCTATTTAGTGCAAAAATTATATATTTTTGACCATCTCTCTGAATGAAATGAACCGATTTCATAAAACCTTGACGTGCTAATAGCTTATTTATTAAGGTTTAAATTAGGCCGCTTTTATTTTAACAAAAAGTGTTAATTTTTATTACAAACATAACTAAGTTGAGCCGGAATTCATATGTAAATCTAATTGACAGGTGGATCTTCTTTAAGTAATACTAATCACGTGCCAGGAATACCAGGATCTTTCTACGGAGGATACGGTAGATGTTATCGTTGTGGCGCCTTCGGACACTGGGCACCCGGTTGTCCGAACAGATTATAATAATGTATAATATATTCTACAAATAAACTAATGTCTGTACTCTATAGTCTATGGTCTTATATAGTGTATAGAAATGTCAAAACTCAAAAGTCAAAATGTCGATGTAAATAAAAAAAATTGGTAGCTGCTTCTTATCTTAAAAACCGAATATAGTTTTTTTTACTATCATTTCTTTTCATTATTCAAATGCAATGTCTTTAATGTATTTTGTTATAAAAATAAGGTTGAACAAATAAATGAGTTATATAGGAATATCATGGCGACGTATTTGGGAAGGTGTCTTAGATGTAAAAAAAACTGATTCAAAAGTGAAATGTATTTCAAATATTACCTGAGGCCTATTTCAACACGCTTAAAAAAACAATATTTTATCTTAAAACTAGCTGAACCGGAAAATATTGATTGGTATTTTAAAAAAATAGTGTTTTATGATAAAAAAGTAAAAATTTAAGGGTGAACAACCCTTATTACTTAGGGATAGAAAAAAATAGATAGTATCCGATTCCCAGACCAACTGAATACACATATAAAATTTGGATAAAATCGGTTTAGCCGTTTCGGAAGAGTACGATAACTAACATGGAATTTTTATATATTAGATGAAGAATTATGATCCGTGTATTCAGATCTATCGGTATGTATGCAAGTCTTCACAATGATATACATCGGTTTTGCTGGTGTATTATTTATAATTTAGTGTATAATAATGATAGTGTTGTGGATACCTTCGATTTCTAGCCCCATTAAACTTCACATATAAAATATAAATGTCGGAAAAAAACATGAACTGTTAAAAACTAGTATTTTTAAATATTTAAGGCCTCTTCCCTCTATATTTTTTCTTGTCCGACCATGAACATTTATGTGATTGTCTACGATTTTTGTAAATTATTAATATTTTATTTGAACATTCATTCGTGTTTATATAAATATACTCTATATTTCAATAAAATATTTAAACTGTAATATGTTCTTGTAGGTGTAATTTTCGTCTAAAAGAAACGAAGACTAAGTCTGGTTTTGATGGAAAACCTTTTTGGTCATACATTAAAAATGTTATATTTTTTGGAATTATCAATGGTTATAAATAAAATCTGATGATTATAAATAATTGAATATATTAATTATTTCCATCTTGTATTTTATTAAAGTTAACCTTATGCTAATTCAAGGTTGCGTTAAACGTTATTAAGGCTTCGGTGCGGGGGAGGGGGATAAAAAGAGACGGCAAGAGGGAAAATGTGGCGCTCGAATCTATGTTGGCAATCAACTGTGACTTGTAAGTAATGTTAGTAAAGTTTTTCTTAACGAAACACCAAACATTCCTTAAAAATCAATTTCTACTCCATCTTGTTTTTATTCCAACACTACAAAGTTTTACTTCTCCCGTGGGACTCCACGCACAATTATTTTATTAGGAAAAGTTTTGTTTTATCAAAAATAATTTTATAAAAAACTAATTTCTATCAGCAAAATAAAATAAGGAATAGACTCAAAAATAAAACAAATTTTGCAACAACGATTTATTGAGCTACAGACTAAATACTTCAAACAATAACTGTTTGGAATTAAAACTAATTTGTAACTTAAGAAAATTTTAAAATACCAGAATTTGTAAACATTTTAATAAGAATAAATAACGGTAATAAAATTAATTCATTTAAGAATAAAAATCTTATTTAATTCAAGTCATTTAAAAGCAGATTATCTAAACATATACACATTCACACATACTAAATTATAAACAGCCATATTATTGCTTGGAAACAGTAAACCACACCATATCAAGAAAAGATTACAATAAGGAATTCCAACATTACCATTGCTGTATTAACAAGACTTGAACAATGAAACTAAACATATCTTCAATGTCAAAGGAATTTAATTTAAATCCATTAAAGAAAATAGCATAATAGTATCATTTTTTTTTATCTAATGTAAACATGAATGTTAAGTGATAAATATTTAAAGTACTAGCTATTTAACAGCCCACAACACACAAAAGTATAATTAACTTATTGTTCCATTTAAAGTAATTTATCTATAAATTAAAAAATATGTATTCAACAAATCACAAAACTATTGTACTATCAGTAAATACATAAACCGTAAATCTTGAAAGAGATGTAGAACATGATAAAACACATGATAGCACTAAAACTTTAACAATAAAATACAATGTCAACAAATATCATTATGAATTTGAGAAGTCATAAAACAATGTTAATAAATAAATTTCACTAATTTAATATACTAAGTGCAGTTACTCCAGATAATCTATGGTATTTATTATATGACAATATATTAATAATTATTTTGTGCTAATAATGAAAATAGGTTCAAATATTCCGTCTTAAATTAATTTATATACTAATAAAATACATCCATGATAAGACTTGTAGTAATTTACATTCTACAGTACATAAATGCATAGACATATAAAAATTATATCCATGAAAACCTTAATGAAATACAATATGTTTATTTAACAACAAAACAATTTCGTCAAGCAACATTCACCAGTTACATATAATTTATAGCTCATTATTAAATACTAGCTACAATTTTACTAATACTTAATCGTTTTTCTTATCAGCTTTATCCTGTCCCTCAATGGCGAGGGTGCCATTCCCATCCACTTGCCTCTGCTGTTCCATTTCTCCGGAGAAACCAAACTCATTGACTCTCTTGTGATCAACCTTGTAGATCCATCGCTGATATAGGAATATGAAGAACACAATGTCTGAAATAATTATTTCATTTAAATAAAAGATTTTTATTATACTAACTACATTCAGATAAAATTTAATAAGTTCTTGTTAAATAATCCTCATATCAACAAACACAATGACCTCATTATTCTAACAATATAAGTGTTTCAAATCCATTATGGAAATTACAATATGTGACTACTAAATGCAAAAATATTCTTCTATGTGACTAGAATTTTGTCATATAAAAATCACAAAATTCAAGTCACATATCTTGTAGCAGAAATACGTTTTTAGTTTCAAATTATAATTACAAAATGACGAAAACACTCTAGCTATTGTAATTTAAACTTAATTTATGTAAATGACAAATCTGCTGATACCAAGAAACAAAGAAAATATATATTTACATATCTAAAGGTATTTATAAATTTACAACTGTACATACCATCTCTGAAGCAGCCCAAGCGGTACATTGTTGGCATTTTGATAACAAATGCAAAGATGTCATCAATGAATGTGTTAAGGAATTTGTATGTCATCATACGCCATGGCAGATGAGCCACAGACTTCAATTTGTAATTAATAAACAACTGTGGCGTCATCATGATGAATCCAAAGGTCAGTAGATATCCATACATCATGTTCAGAATAAACGAATACCATCCCTTATGTTCTAGATATAATAAAGAATACACTCCATATCCAATGAGCAGTGGGAAACAGCCCCAACTTAGATATCTGAAAGCTAGAATATCATACTCCCTAGTACTAGATTCTACATAAGAACCTTTATCTTTAAATGATAATTTTGGAAAACCCAATATCCTATCTTCTCTATTTAATTTAACATCCATTACTTTATTGATCTTCCACACCTCAATCAACAGACCAATAAAGCATGAAATTCTCACCATAACATTTGTCTCATTGTCCAACACATAAAGTAGAACAACCGTTGATTGGAAAACATTAAAGAAAACCGATCTGACAGATAAACCCTCGAGAGATTGTCGATTATTCCAGAATTGAATATCATTTTTGAATGCCAGCAACTCAAATATTGAATGGAGGATAGAGACTGAAATAGTCAATGCTAGCAAGTAAGGGGATGTATCTAATAGTAATTCTTTGACGGTATCTTGTTCTTCATCTTGCTCTTCAGCACCTAATGCTGAAAACATGTTTAACTTATCTCTCATAGCCTGAGCGGTATACAATTGCCATTTAAATAGACTAAGAGGTTGGAATGTAAGCTGCAATTGGAGTTTAGTGGTAGTCTTATTTAGAGGAACATAATCTCTCAACATGTTCCAATAGTCATTCAGAAACACTGCAGGTTTGTACTCTTTTCCTTCGGGTAAGAAATGAATGAACTCATCGAGAGGTGGCGGCACACTGCCCTGCATCCAGTTAGTTTGATCTGTTACCAGATTTATCGTTAAATTTGGATGCCAGTGTGATACAATCTCCTCTTTCAATGTTTCAGCTTTTTTTATTTCTTCCTCAGACTTCTCTGTTTGGCCGGTCAATAAATTATGAGTCTTTTGATATTTTAATTTCTTATATTTATTAACCATTTTCTTTCCATACGAAATGTAAGGTCCAGCATAATTAACTTTATCGTTTGGATCAGGACATTTTCCGACCGGCACAACATAGACATGGAGGTATATGGACCCATTATTTTTTAAACTCTCCGGTGCTATAAATTCTGCAGATTGAGTAAATGTGCCATCTCCATTTTCACCTCCATGCCAATCACCGTAAATTAATCCTGGAAGCTTCCATAACAGCTTGGCATCTTCAAATTGATATAAAAATTCTTTTTCTGACAAATAGGTGTACATATCTACAACTGTTCCATTAGAGAACATATTAACAGCAGGCATTCTAGCTACTCCTGAAGGACTGTTCACGTCAGCCTTAGGTGGTGACGACTGACGAAACATTGACGTTATGAAGTAAACAACTAAAGCTCTAATGATCAAAGATTTTGTTACAGCAAGGAATGATTCCATTTTTGTTGGCTGCCTTTGCCTCTGCTCCTCACTTTGTGAAGTAATCTAAAAATAAAATAAGGGTTAAATTATATCAAAATATATAATTAACATTCAAATCAATAAGATATTATAAAACATTATTTGTATGTAACTTTTTTTGTTAAAATATGAAATTATACAATTGAAAATACAAGTGGAATCATTTAAAATAATTTACAATTATTTTAATACTTACATCGACATTTTCATTAGACATCTCGTTTTGTCTCGGAGCGCTATCACTAGGTACTAATTTATCCGCCGCATCTCCGGAAGAATTTTCTTCGTTTACCATTTGAATTTTGTATTTAAAACAATTCAGATGAAATATATTTCAGGAATATGAAAAAAATACCCAATAGATTTTTTAATTTACTGCAATGTGATATTATAGATTTTCATCATGGACGATTCTTGACAATTTACTTTTTTTTGTTATCTAATCGAGCTATGGCATCTGGTTTTTTAATCATTAATTTATTATCAACAATATAATTGAAAATTATTAATAAAAATTTTTAAAAAAATAAAAAAGATAAATTAATAAAATTTTATATGCATCTCATAAATGGCAACGTGGAAACAGAAGTCGTATACATTTACATAAACTAACGTAATACAGCTTCATTTTATTTAAAGACAAATCCCTCGGTTTAATCTACATACAATCTTTAACATAATTTTATTTGAATCGACAAACCCTTCTCTATTAAAAAAAAGTAATTAGTACTATTATCCTACGTAAGAAATTAATCTTAAAATAAGGTTTATGATCGAAGTGGAATAAGAAGAGACTTTATAGGCTTAAAAAATTTAGGCATTCTACGTTTACGAGCTTTATGCCTTAATATTGTGACCATCAATTAAGTTTTATATATCAAAAGTTAAGAACATCCCTGTCAAATATTACTTACACTTTGTCAGTATATTACTAACACCTATTTCTTAAAAAATGATTTACATATATTTTGACTTTGTATTCATATATATCATGATAGATATATTTTTCCTTTATCTTACCGTTCGATGAGGAGTTTAAATTCATTATAATTTGCATTTCATAACAATGACTAAGTTAACAACGTGTAAAAAGTTAATTCAATTATATAACATTCTTTTAGACATGCATGCGTTATATGAAAACTTAAATATGTAATTATTGTGTAAGTGTTTAGAGCAAATCTATTAACCATGATTTAATATCGAACCAAATAAGAAACTAATCATTGAAATGTCACAATTAAAGACAAATTTAAAAGACTACGACTATTAACAAATATATATTCACGTAAATCCTTATATGTACAAACCATCAAACTCACTGCGGAAACAACCGTCCTTCAAAGTTTTCTATAATCTTATAAGACGAACAGCGTATTTAAGTATTGTACATTAGATTTAACATTATATACAGGGTGACTGGTGAATTACTATCAATATTTAAGGAGCATACTCGGTACATGATTCTCATTCGAATTATGTAAAAAAAATAGGTACTTAATTTTTGACCAAATTTCCGTATAAATAAATAAAGTGTGGACACGTTCCAAGTGTGGACGCGTAGGGCGGCGTGCTGATACAACACCACGCCGCCGCACGCGTGTGTGTATACCTAATCTGTAGGGTGTTCACACGATGCGTAATTAATTACATAACTTTTGGTTAACTTTACTTAGAAATTTATTAATATTTATGTTACAGTGGACCCCCGGTAATCCGGCCCCTGTCTAATCCGGCACCCCTTATAATCCGACATGAACTATTATTTATTATTGAATACATATTTTGTATTCGCTAATGCATGATTGAACAAGTTACAACTTGTACGCACCATCACTATTGTGCTCGACGTGTAGGGTATTGTTTTGATTCTGATTGCTTGGTTGGAATTTGAATTTGTACTTCAGAGTACATATAAGGACATATGTTTATATAATATGTAAATAATCTTATTGAATCTGTAATTTGTCGGATTACAAGGTACTCTTTTGTAAAAAACTCCGGACTATAGAGGGTCTTAGGCAGTACTCTATAATCCGACGAATTCGATAGTTCGACACTGCCCTGCAAAATGTTTGTCGGACTACCGGGGGTACACTGTATATTAATTTTTATTTTGTCATATATGATAGTCAAATATCACGTCCTCAAGTATCGATAGTAATTCACCAGTCACCCTGTATAATGAAAAGGTGTATATTTTTTCTTACTGCTTGAATTATATTTTGACTTATTACTCACAATAAAATGTGGTTTCAATATACATATTTATAGAAATCTTTCCAGATCATACTTGCATATAAACTACATAACTGCATTATTCAAAGCCATGTGTACACATAAAGTGCACACATGTATTTGTATAAGAACAAAATTTGTTTAAAACATTAAAAAATTAAAATGCCTATTTATTTAAATCTTGTTTATTTTAAGAAACATTCATTTAAGACTGCCTATAATAATAGATTAAAAAATATAACCATAAGAATCATACATTAAAGTGAAGATGCAAGTGAAACAATTTCATTACAATTATCATTTTATTTCAAACACAAATTGAAAGATTCGACAGTTAATCGGACCCAAAACTCAATCGTAAATCGCGAATATTTTGATTCGATTGGTTAGACCATTATAAAATTAGTTTGGACAACATTAAACAAAACAAAATTACATGTTACTAATAGCAATTCATGTTTCTCCTAGAATCTACACAAAATCAGATTCCACAGCGCACATGTCGTACATCCGACACTGGATTCCATCACAGAGATTTCAACGCCTACCTTCCAATGTTATTTTGAAACAGAAATACTTATTCGGAATTATTTTTCTAGCAATGTAGATTGTTGCATGATTTTCATCCTATAAATAAAAAAAGGCCGTAACACTACATCTTGTACTTGAATATAAACCAATTTGAGTTGGTTTTAAAATTATAAGCTTGCCACTAGCATTCATCATCTTCCATTGTTCCAGGCGACCCTTTGTACATCCTGACAGAGCAAGATATAATTTTAAACAAGCACAAGATTTTTTTTTGTTGCCCTCATGATAACAGTCCACTAAAACAGGACCATATTACTATAAATGCTAACATTGAATTGCGTACAGCTAACATAAAAGATATATTTCTAAAATAATTGCATTAAATGAAATCAATTAGAATATGTCTTACTACACCTAAAAGATAAAGCTCGTAATGAAAATATGAAAAATGATTAGTATTTTTTATATTAGGTATATAAAAAGGAAAATTAAACGCCCTAGCCTTCTGTGAGTGCTCAATTGAAGTGAACTGTTACCATTTATAACCTTTATTACTAAACTAGAATTAATCCTGCATTTCCTCCGGCAATTCATGAGGGTTGATAATCCCTGGCACAGATAACTGGACCCTTCTCTTCTCCTCCTGTGCCTTGCTGAGAGCGAACTGCCGTTCTTCCAAAAATAGATCGCTGTCATCCTCACCAGTGTACTCCTGAAATTGTTTTAATAATAATATGATAACTATATATTGACAAACTATGCAAGGAAAGAACACAGTACTTTTATTATAGATGTAATGAACACAAAGATTGGGACAGAAAGAAATGTAACTTCATCATCATTTAAAATCCTTAATTAGTCAAAACCACATCAATAAATTGTAGTTCTGGTCATTTTTATCTTTAAAATGGAATACTTTCTTCTCGTCATTGACAAAATTTAGTTTAACCTTAAAGTATAGAATATTTGTAATTCTTTTTCTAAAAAGTTTATATAACTCACTCTAATTTGAACTAAGAAATCTCTGAGATGATCTTTGAAGGCTGGTATGTCTTGATCCAAATTGAAAAGTCCCTGAACGGTAATCTTAATTTGATTATCATTCAAATGAGGGAATGCTGTTTTGAGGAGACGGGCAACATATTCCTGAAAAATCATTATAAGAATTAAGTATAATATTTTATGACTCATATAAATTATATTACAGCATCTAAGCCAAATTTTTACCTGTATATAAAGAATATTATCCGGAGTGAGACCCAGAGGAACAGTTACTCTACCCGTTTCCACCAAGGAGAATATATGCGCTAGAATAGTAGCATGCATCGTCAAACCTGCGCCGTGGGAAGTATCTGTTACCACACTAAAAACGTGTTCCAGTATATCACATAAATAAGTCTGGTAGAAACTCTGCGCGGCCTGGGGATGTAGTTCGACGTTTTGAAGCAGCCGATATAATATCTGAAGACCAGTATCAGCAACATTTCTCATTGTATGTTTAAATGCCCATATAATGGAATCAAGCACTAATTTAAATTGCGCCGGAGGTATGCTTAGGAATGCTTTGAAACAGTGCGTGTTCACAGCCTGTAACAACAAGAAGAACTCGGTTCTGTGCTCTGGATATTCTTCGAAATCTTTATTGATCATTTCCAAAGTACATTCAAAGATCGCGTCGAAGATTTTCGGTACTTCCGATGTTATATGCCCTCCAAGTTTATAAACAATTGCCGCCATACAGGATAAAACTTCCGATTCTCTTGCATCAGGCACTGCAGTTCTTTGGTAATCCAATAGAACAGCATCGAGTAAGGGAGGAATGAAATTCTCCAATACCATACTGTTATCTGTTGAACGAGAAACCCAACTAGAAATTAGTTTAAGAGTTTCTTTTTTTATTATCCTCATATTCTTTATGAGTGGCTGCTTAGTCACTACCACACCGTTTAACGCTATAGCTTGGCTGATATTCTCCGACATGACCTTATACACATTGAGCATATCTAGATATATTCTGCCTAGTTGGACGACATACGGGTGGCCCAGGGCGCGACAAGCTCGACCATTTGTTTTAAGAATACTGACAAGTTGTTTAACAGCCTCAGCATCTTTCAAGATGTCCACATTATGAGAAGCTTGCGATATTATATCGTCCCATACCTGATTGGGAAGCAACATGTACTTCTCAATGAGCTGTTCTTGCGCAACCTGGTCTACTTGCGCACTGATCATGTAACCTACAGCTTCGTAAAAGGTGTGAACTTGCAGCGTCTGTAGATCACAGATGATAGAACTGATAGTACTTAAAATTTCTTCAATGAAAGGACAAGCTTCTCCAACTTGCGTAGTTACGAAGTGACGGCGACATTTTAAAGCGATTTTTATAAATGTATCACATGCCATGTCCTGAACTCCATCATGGGTTTCATGCATGAATTCAAAAAGTTTATTAACAACAGTTTTCAAAAATTTCCAATGAGCTCTTAAGAAGCGGGGATACTGACCTACAACATACATGATATTACTAGCTATGATAGCTTTATTGTCTTTACCCTTTTTCTGCTCACACAAGCCCAGTAGCTCTTTAATAACAATAACCAAAAATCTCTTTTCATCTTCTTCAGTCAAGGCACCAGATATCGAACCAATTGCCCAACAAAGGGTATTCAGATTTTTCCAGGACCATTCAGTCCCATTCACTTGGTTTTGAAGTTTCTCAGTCATAATCCTTTCAGTATCTTGATAATCCAAATGTGTTAAATATACCAATGTTTCTCTCATATTTTTGTATAAATTTATAGTGTCCGTGTCCTTCATGAATTCTCTTACAACTTCACCATTTTCATTTTCAACAACTAGCACTTCCTCCGGTTTTGCCATTCTTGAAATCATAATGTATCTAACACTGCTCAGAACATCGGCATACAATGCTTTTCGTCCAACATTTTTCCCTAAACTATAAAATCCTACTGAATGGGAACATGGTGTTATCTTATACAAATCAGCAGCTAAGGCATTCCAAAATTCTAAACATATCTTAAAAATCTCTACATCTTCTACTTCAGATATTAATACAAGATATCTGAGGGCATTCATGAGAGTGTTAGTGAGGCCCTTCCTTTCAATTAATTGTCCATGCTCTTTTAAATAAGTACATAGAAATAGAGCAAGGTTTTGAATAAAAACCTGTTCTTGGTCTCGACCTGCTGCATATGCTTCTCTTATGTTAGTTGATAGGGGAAGCATAACTTCCAATTGCTCCATTGTTTGAACAAGTAAAGCAACAAACTGCTCTTCATAATTACTTACTGTGACACCAGCTATTTCAGTAAGGCAGCTAAGGGTAACATTGCGGAACATTGGAACATTCAGAAACTTGAAAATAAGTGTACTTATTAATTTCATTTCAAATATGTAGCCAAGAGGAATCCAATTTAAAAATCTCAGAAGTGTGTGAAGTGTTGCATCAACGAGAGGTGCATTTTGTGAATTCTCTAATACAAATTGACACAGATTAAAAATTTGACTGAATTCAGAACACATGTTGTCTTTTAGATGTTTTGCTTTTGTCTGCGTTAGTTCACCTGTACTGAAAACAAACACTTCTTCGCTGAGAAGTTTTAAGATTACCATATTATTCTGACACAGGCTCTCATTAGTTTTAGATGCTCCCACAATGTCACTTATAAATGTCTCCCAATTATGAGGCCATTCTCTTTTCAAGACTTGAATAAGTATCATATTTAATTTTTTTAAATAAACCTTATTGCTTTCCATAGTGGCAGGATCCGACGAGTTCTTTATAATCAGACCCACAATGTATTTTTTAATACCTTCACACTGGTTCCTTGGTAAAACTTTCCACCTAGTTTTGATCACTTGTTCCAAAATTTGCAGAGCGTAATATTTTGTTTCCTGGTTCTGAGAATACTCAAGTATGGTATCAACTCGGGTCCAAGCATCGGGATGTTCTTTGAGTGCTGTTAAAATGTCTTGGGCAATACGTTGCTGTTCTCCAACAGTGGAATATAAACATCCAACGATATTATCAAGAAGTGTTATGTCCAATTTTTGGTTGAAATCAAGAAGTTTAGAAGCTTGCTGCTCTAAAGTTGCCATTCTGATTGGTGACTTTTATAAATGTTTAAATTAGTTATCTTAATTAAAATCAGGAATAGAGTTTTTTATTTTCATTCATTCCTCTTCGCATGCCCCTCTGAAATAAATTAAGACATAATTAGAAAGGTATAGAGTCTTAACCTCTTGCAGGCACAAAAACATTTCAGTCCGTTGTTAATGTTAAATTGGACGTCATTTCTATCAATGTTTTTATTATTTCATAAAAAGCCACTTTATCTTCTACAATACTTGTGATCTTATTACTTAAAATATATAAGTGCACACCCCGTACTACTAACAATGACATTTTCATAATAAACGAAACTGTTTTGTAACGTAGTAAAACTTTAATATACATCGCAATAAATAAATTAACTCAAGTAATTACTCTAACTTACCTGAAAAAATGAAATGCGGCGCAATCGGTCAAATTCACTTCCATACACACTAGCCCGTTGTTTTCGTCGTTTTCGTGATGCTTGAAAAAGCTAGAGTACATGTCGTTATGTCTATGCTTCAAGAGAAGTTTGTGGAAAGTAGAACGATTAATGTGGCAACCAAAATATAAATAACATATATTATTTTAAATATTATACCTATAATTTAAAGTAAATTATAATAACATTTCTAAGTTAAAATTAAAAATATGTAAGAAAAATAAGATTTTTTTAACGAATCAACATTTGCGATTTTTTAAAATAATAATATATAATTAATAAATCATAAACATTTGTTTTAAATATTCAGTTAATTTTAATTATCTTAGAATAAAATCTATTTTTATATTAATATAAGCTGCGTAATGTGAATTCAACTCAATTTAATAACCTTCGATTTGTTTTGTAAAAAGTTTGTGTCAATTGAACAATTGGCACTATGGTGAACAAAGCGGTGGCAATATTCTAATTTTTAATAATAATATAAATATACGTGAAAAAATGATAATATATTTATATCTTTTATCATAAAGAAATAAGTTACACTATTACTAGGTGCTCACTTAAGTAATTCATAATATTGAGAAATAATTGACAAAAAACCGAATGCAATAAAAATATCGTCAACAGTCAACAAATCCCATTACAATGAGTAGGAAAAGAAACGTTAGTTACATAAAGCCTGAAGACCCACACTTTCTTAAAATTCTCAAAAAAGAAGCTGGTTATGATAATACAAACCATAAATTTGATAAACTTGAGAATGATGAAGAAGATTTTGTCGAGGATGAAGATAGCGAGCAACCGCAGATTGTTGTTTTGAAAAAAGGTGATCTTACAGCTGAGGAATATGATATTGAGAAGGAGAGATTAAAGAAAGAGGAATCGGAAACCAAAGCAGACTTGAACCAGAAAGTTGTATTTAAAGCCAGAAGTACTGCCAGCTCAGATAAGAAAACCTCAAACCAGAAATCAAATAAATCTTCAGTAAAGCCACAAAAAAATAGCAACCTACTATCATTTGGTGACGAGGATGAAAGTGATGATGATTCTGATAGCTAATATTAAACAATATGTAGTTATTGTTTTGTAATTAGTATTTAAATGTTAAGTTATCATTGTATTACCATCCTATTTCTTTTGGAAGGTCATCAAATGTGAATTTGTATAGGGCTCATACAAATTCATGATAAAAAAAAATGGAAAATTTTTTTATGAAAAAATCTTATAGTTTCAATACACATCCTTTTAAAAAAAGTGCCTCTTCATAATGACAAACAATCTATAGATAAATCAAATCTCTATAGATAAATCTGACTTATCTTAAAAATTACAGATTTTATAAACAACATTAATAACTTTAGAAAATGATTTAAAATACAATATTGTTACAGTAGTTGCCTCTTAATTAATGCAACATTTCTTTCAAATTTAATGTTCTATCTTTAACACTATTCCAAAATTAACTGTGGCTGTTTAAATATATAGTTTGCAAAACAATTAGGATTTCAGGAAAAGGTTATTTATTTGCATAAGACTTAATACTGCAAAAATATTTCTCTTCAACTACAATATATAAGTAAAAATTAAGTTTGATAGCTGATTAGTTCTTGTTATTTATAATTCAACACTGTATATAGGCTTTCAATGAGTTTTATTAAAGCTTAGAAGTGACGAAATTTATACATAATGCCAACTGGTATTGATAAAATTAAAAGAATATTCGTTACTAATAGTAATTCCATGTGTAATTAGGAAATATTTTATCCATTAGGAAACAACAAAAAGTGTTTTATAATAAAAAATTAAATAGTGTCATAATAATAAAGTGTATAGATAAATAGAACAAAGTATGTATTTATTTTTCTTATTTGTTATATAAATGATATTTTTTTATTCACTTAAATTGCTTATTCAATATGAAGACAACATTTTTTTAGGCATCATTTGCACTGGATTCATAGAAAATTTTGAGTGTCAATATTTTTAACTGCAGAAGGACTCAATTTAATTCAATTTCATACAATGACTGTACTTAAAAAGCAGGTTTTTGGAAATAATCCATGTTTAATTTTATTGATTAAAAGTTTAAAACAAATTGTTTTGAATGAATTTTAAATGTTTAAGAAAAAAATATGTTTCAATTCCACAATGACAGATACACTAACTTGTTGGCAAATTAAACAATTTCAATGATAATACCATATTTTATTAAAATAACTTACATAACAGTACAAAAGCTTAAAATTTTAACCTTCTTTGAGATTTTGTATTTTCTTAGGCTTACTTCTAGATCCATTTGACACTGCTATAGAATCTTTTGAATAAGTATGTACTATATCAGAATCATTCTCATGTTCAAGAAGTTTCTGGAGCAGAAATTTTCTCTCTTCTTTAACTATCTGTATATTTTCTTGTATTTTAGCTACTTCATCACACAAAGCAGCATTTTCCTGAAAATTGTTGAAAAACTTAATATATAATTTCTTAAATTTTCCCACCGAAATATTTATTGCTCTTACAATAATCAAACTTTTAACTCTCAGCTTCATATGATTGTATTTTTTTCTATATCGTTTATTCTGATTCTCGCTATGAATGTTATTCATGACAACTTTAGACGAAGATTTCATTACAAATAAAACTTAAACTATAATGACTGAAATACAAACTATGAAGAAAGAAAAAAGTTGTAAAAAGGAGTTTTATATTTTTCTCTTAATTACATCGATGTTTGACATTTGACAGCTTTAACCGTATATTTAAAGGGAGTCCACTAAGATTAGGGTGTGTTAGATATTTTAATTTTGTATTAACGATTCAAATATATTTCAGGAAAATATAATAAAAATTGGAACTGTATAAAATAAATGTTGTTAAATTATCAAAAATATATATTATGAAAGAGTTTTTTCCAAAAATATTCTTCACTTAATCAAAAGATGTAAATATCTTACTTTTATTAGGATTCGTAATTATTGTCGTTTACCAATTTTAGTACAAAAGCAGATGTACCATTTACTTATGTACCATTCTGTACATGCTGCATCGTCTGTCAATCTTACTTGACAGCCGGCGCCTTACGATCATTGATAAATGTTTTTGTTTATTTATAAAATATAAATAAAAATAATGTGAAATTGGAAAAAATGTCTGGATTTGCTGAATATAAAAGTTTTTTCCCCATCGACAGTATTCAAAAAGTATGTGATTTCTTTGAAGAGCAATTGCGCAGTAATAAAGATCCAGATTTGGCTTTGTTTTCTATCATAGTGGGAGCAGTGGAAAACAACTTAACTAACATAAAAAATAGCGACAAAGATGTTAATCTTGCTTCAAATAGATTTGTTAAAATGAAGTTTCCTTCAGTGGAATGGGAAGAAGTGAAATCCCTTTATGATCGATTCGTTGCTCTGATGCGAAGTGGCGTCGACAATAAATTGCTAGCCGGCGAGTATGCTACACGAGATTTAGTGAAGAGGGTAGCTGATGTCGTTTGGAATTCGTTGACTAGAAGTTATTACAAGGACCGGGCCCACTTACAGTCAATTTATAGTTTTTTGACGGGAAATAAGTTGGATTGCTTTGGTGTTGCTTTCGCTGTAACCGCTGGATGTCAGGTATTAGGAAAACAAGACGTTCATCTCGCGTTATCAGAGGACCATGCATGGGTAGTGTTTGGAAAAGATGGCACAAATACAGCAGAGGTGACAATTATTTTATATTTTATAACATTGTTGCTTTGACAAGAAAAATTTGTTATAGAAAATAAGTGTATAATTTTTTAGGTGACATGGCATGGCAAAGGTAATGAAGATAAACGAGGCAGATCTGTAGGCGAGGGAGTGCTGGCCAGGTCTTGGCTTTATGTGGCTGGAAAGCCTGTTGTGTGTACACGAGTAATGGAACTAGCTGCCTTGGTCTCATCAATTAATCCCACTTTAACACCAACAATCGATGTCCATGAAGTGGCACAGATGCAGCATAAACTTCTATGGTTGTTGTATGATAAAGGTAATATCGTGAATAAATTGGACAACACAAAACTAATGACTGCAGAATTATAAAAAATTACTATAAAATATTATACATTCTAGGTCATTTAGATGCTTATCCAATGGCTTTGGGTAATCTTGGTGATCTGGATGAGTATATGAAAATTTCAAATTGTCCCGAGGAGGACGAAAATTCTGTGCCTCAAGAGGAAGCTGGGAATACCAATTCTGATACCACACCTCGGCCAGATTCAGCCGCCTTGTATGTTCAAGCAATAAGATCTTCGAGAACCCATTATGAAGACAGGCATGTGTATCCGTATACATTCCAAGGAGGCTATTATCACCGACATAAGATGTACAAAGAGGCATTTAATGCATGGGCATGTGCTGGAGATGTTATCAGGCAGTAAGTTTTCATATTAAAATTAAATTATTAATAAATGTATATTTATAAATGAGTAATTTATCAAAAAATCTTTAAATCAGAACTTTTTAGATATCACTTTTAAACTGCTATTACATTTTATTGTTTTATTAACTAACATGAAAGGTTTATCTTATCAGAAAATGGTGTACTGGGAAAATTAGTCATGTTAGATTAGATAGATATATGCTGGATTATTTTTTACCTTAATATTATATTATTTAATAAATTACAAACATCTCTTATTTTATTTATATCACCTTGACAAGAACCAGTTTTTTGAGTTTCTTTTTCACCTGTACTTACTTTTTTATGTCAATACCAGCTTTCCGCCCGCAGCTTCGCCCGCGTGGCGTTGGACTATCCTATGTTCTTTCTCAAGATCAACTCTACCTCTGTGACAGACAGTTACTTTCGCATTTATAATATTAGTAGGGATTTCCGATAGAAAATGAATCAAATATTTAAAAAAATTCTCTATAAAATTCTAATTATTTTGGTATATATTTTTCCAGCTATAACTATTCTAGAGATGATGAGGAAATATACAAGGAGTTTTCTGAAATTGCAAATGAATTAATACCGCAGTTGATGAAAGCTGAGAGTTCAGGACATTCGGCTAGATCCATTCTTAAAGATCCTGAATGTTTTGCTTCCTTGTTAAGGTAGGAAAGATTTTTTTTCTATAATTGTAATTCAGAACAATTTTCAGACTTGTTTTTAATGTTGTTCTTACTAAAATCGAGAGTTCAAAAAACATTTCTCTATTCTTTTTTAAGGTTTTACGATGGAATCTGTAAATGGGAGGAAGGAAGTCAGACACCAATTTTGCACATAGGATGGGCAAAACCCCTAGTCAGCACCATATCAAAATTCGATGCAGAGGTAAGAGCACAAGTTAATATAATCTGTAGTCCAGATGGCAATGAAACCATAGATGCACCGCCGAAAACTGAAAACTCCGAGGAAAACGATAACAAAGTGAAAGATAATGATAGATGGAATAATAATTCCGAAAATACAGAGATGACAGTCCGGGAACAATTGACAGCAGCTGTCAACAGTCGTCCTCGTGTCACTCTATACAGCCATAAAATGGCGGCTCTGAAACCGTTACTTTTGGCTGAACGCTTGAATACCCATGCCTTACAGTTGCAATTGACAGCACAGAGTCAATTACAAAGACCACAGGCTCCCGCCAAAAGGCGTGATGATGATGAAGTTACTCCTTCAGCACCCACCGCAAGAGCTAAACGCGCCCGCCGAGAACGTTAATTTATTTTATACTGCTATATATACATATATATTTTTGTTTTATTTACATTTTTTTTCTATCATAACCGATATCTTAGACTCTTGTGTAACTAAGATGTCCATTTCTCTAGAACTTACGTGTTATGAAAATAGGAACTACAAAAAACATTTAGATCTTACATTCTAATTTATACGTTTAGGTTACTTTTCCTCCTTGGAATATTCAATAATCCTAACGAAACTCTCTTAAAACGGGTTATAAATATGTATAGCGTCATAAAGTACGCGGTATTTTGTCTAAGTTTATTTTTTTATAATTCCATAGATGTAGAGTTATTGTGGTAGATCTGTAGTTCGTCAAGTAATTTATAATAATATTAGGGCAGTAAAGAAGACTGCATTTTAAAATGAACAAAAAAATATATGCCATAATATTTGCTTTTATTAATTTGTGTGATTGATTATGTATGTAGGAAACTATTAAATTATTGTGCTACATATTTTTATAAATGAACTGAATACATTAACAGTTATTATTTAAACATTAACTTTAATTGTTGAAAGTTTATAATTATCCATTTTATACTTTTAATTGTGTTATGATGCAAAGCATTGGAGTAAAACTCTTGAGTTGTTGAAACTTAATAAATTATCTGTCTGAATATTTAATTGATAAAAACTATAAATCATTTGAAAGTATAGTTTTTTTATTAAGTATTAAATTAAGTTTATGTCTTTTAAGATAGATAATAATCTATAATTATATTAAATCTTTTTTTGTCTTGAATTAAAAATAAGAGTAATTTATAAAGAACTAAAGATATGTACTTACTTATGGCTATTGACTTATAAAATCATAATATTTTACATGCCCTAAGAAAGGTACAAGTTGTTGAATTGTACAAAAAAAATCCTCGAAGGTACGAATTAGAAGAAATAATGAAGATTTAAATTGTTTCACATTCTTAGAAATGTTATATGTAACAAAGTTTTACTAAGAATGCTTTGATGAAATCGTATGTACGATTGTTATTTGTATTTTGGTTTGACATGAGTATAAAAAAATATAAAATTTAACGGAAGCTATTGCTGACGTTTATGAGAAATTTTAACATTCAATGATCAAAGTAAAAACTAAAGTGCCTTTGATGTTTCAGGAATGTTTAATTAATGAAAAGGCACATCTAAATAATTAGATGAATAACTTAAATATATTATATGGTTTTTTAAATGAATTCTTCTGTTACCCTCTTAAAAACAAACATATTTTTAAAGGTCACCCTAGTGGTGTCCACATTATTTTTTAAATATTTTTTAAGATTTATATTCTCTGTACAGTTAGTATAGTGGATTCATGAAAAACTTGAAAAGATGATAAGTATTATTTTTATAGACATATAAGTAGTATTCTTATATATGCCTATAAATGAAATTTTTTATCCTTGTCTGAGTATTAGTATCTAAAGTATGTGTAATTATAAATCTTTAATGGTTGTACTTATATAGAAATAGTTCATGTTCTTAAAACTTTTGCCACATTAAAATTATATATTATTGCTGGAGCAATGTTGATCTTTGCCAACTTAAGGATTAATTAAAATAATAGTAGCCATAGACTTAATCATTAATTTCTTCTGTGGCAAGGACTGGTGACACTGACCAAATTTGTAGATCTATGAGCAATATATTTTTATCATCTATAAATCTACTTACAGTGGATGTAATTTTTTTTTTAATGACAATTGTTTTAAAGTAATTATGTTTGTAAGCCGTAATATGTATATGATGCTGAAGAAAATTTGTTTTGCTCTCTGCAGAAGTATAAAAATCTGTTTTGCTGATAACATTTTTGTTATTGACTTAATGAAACTATTTTTAATGTAAGAATATTTTTGTATGTCTTAATTATGTATTAAATTTTGTAGAATGTTCGATTTTTTCTTTCAATGTAAATCAGTTATGTGCACTGAAGTTTAAATCTGAATTGTTTTTAACATTATTTTTATTCAAAAATTGTAATGTTATTGCATATGAACATTCTTAAGTTTAATATATATACTTAGGAAACACACTTTTTATTTGAACCGAACCTTTAAATTCCCGAACGCATCCGAAGCGATATTAAAGCTATGACGCTTGACTTGTTCTCTTTTAACGCGCGAAAGTATGTTGTGAACACGGCTTGTATTATTGTAAATAGAATTTAACTAATTTAAGGTGTTTTGGCTTAAGATAATAATTAGTTTGCTCTAGTTAAGGTTTTATTGTTATTTAAAAGTCCTGGCTTTATAAGAAAACTATATTCTTATAAGAATTTTATTAGAATCCTTAATTCAGAAGTGGGATAGCATTCACGTTCATAGTTATATTTATGTTATACGTTTTTGATTAAGTACATAAAAAGTAATAAATAAAATAAAATATGTGTTTTCAAATCTACTTTAACAATAACTTGCGAGTGAATAAGACTGATAGATAACATTAGTCTCGAAACACGTGGCGTTGACAAGACAACCACCGTTGGTTATGGAAAATTTGAACGGAACTCGATCTAAGAATATAAGTTTAGATCACGATCGAGAAGTAGGACACATTCTTTTTCAGGCACCATATTACGTTTCAGTACATTAGAAGTTTAACGCTACCTCAAGTAAAGCACTAAACAGCGAAGTTCAAAATAACGAAACTGTTGGTTTGTATACTCTTTCACTGGGAGATTAAAACAAAACGAACAAGCAATTCAAATTAAGGCATGAGTCTAACAGGTACAAATTTTGCTTTATTAATAGTACACGCATTCGGTAAGTTTTATTTATTAATTCGTTACCATTATAAGCATGGTTAAGCTCATGTTTACCAATACAGTCTCACTCTTTGGCTTCATAGTGCCTGACTGTGGGTGAATTTTCGAATATTTCTAGTTTTCTACTTCACTTACTGAATTCAGTAGCAATATTTATTTAATAATACACAAAATGCATAATGCAAGTTGTCAGATATAAAGAATAACATTAGAAATTAGATATGAAAGATAAGGAACTTATTTTGATAGGCTATGCAGTGAATTTAAAAGGCTATAGGGTTTATAATCCTGAAAACAACTCAGTTAAAACTAGTAGAGACATCCTTATAATGTAACCAACCAAAAATATAGTTAATATTACTATTGAGTGTAAGGTTTCAACGGGGAACAAAGTGAAAAAGAAGAAAATGGTAATGCAGATAGCATAAATACTGAATGTAATGGTAGTAATGTCACATATTCCATAAGATTCATTAGTAAGTGATTCATATCAGAGTGTTTCTGATACAGCATCAAAACCAGACTATTATTATCATCAATCATCATCAAATCATTAGTAGACTTGAGTCTGGAGTTTCCCTTTGGACAAACAATTTTATTTTAATTTTTATTACAATTGAAAAAAGTATCTGATAGATTCACCTACAAATATTTATGTATTGTAGAATCAGATGATCAGAATATAATGGATATTACACACAGGGAGCTTTAAATGAAACTGAGAGTAAGTATGGAAGTAGAATTAGAGTCGTTTAAGATAAATGATGTGTGAGAACTTGTGGATAACTCTTGTGATTCTACGGTAGTTCAGTACAAATGGGTGTTTAAAAACAAAGTCTGATAATGTTGGTAATGTGCGTTACCATGCAAGATTAGTGGCAAAATGTTTTTCACAGAAAGCCAGTGTAGGCTATCATGAGACTTTTCCCTGTACTATATTACTCTACTCTAAGAATGTTATTCTCTTTAACTGTAAAATTAGGTTTAGATTTACACCATCTGTATTACAAGAGCTTTCCTAAATGATTTTGTGTATATGAAAAATCTAGTATAGTATGAGGATGATAATAATGGTGGTAACAAGGCTTAAACATGTCATTTGTGGACTTGAGCAGTCCTTGCATGCATGGTATGAGAGAGTCAGTGATCACTTAAAGTCTTTAGGTCATTTAAAATCTAAGTATGAACCTTGTTTATTTACAAAGCTTAAAAAATAATAATAATGTTTAAGTGTTTAGTTATAATAGCTGTGTTTGTATTCTTTAAATATAAAATGGCTACTAATCAGTTAATACAAGATTTAAGCAGTAAATTTAAAATAAAAGATCTAGGTCAAATAAAGCAATGTTTAGGTTAAAGAGTAAATATGTATGAAATGTTATAACTGTTAATCAAGAACAATATTTGGAAAGCTTTCTGAAATGATTTAATATGTCTTACTGTAAAACTGTTGAAACTGCTATAGAGATTAATGTAAGGATAGAAAAATCTAAGAACAGTTCTTGTGATAAGAAAATTCCATATAGACAACTGATACGTAATTTTATGTATTTAGCTGTCTTGACCAGACTAGACTTAGCTTACAGTGTATGTTATTTGAGTCAGTTTAATAACTCATATGATGGAACTCATTGAAAACACTTAAAACAATTTTGAATTACTTAAAAGTTACTAAAATGTTTTGCTTTGTTTTTATTAAAGGATAATTCTTATATTCAAGGATATGGTGCTGCAGATTAGGGTTCAGATTCAAATGATAGAAAATCTTTTTCTGGATTTTAAGTTGTCTGGTAGAGTAATTTCTTTTGAATGAAGAAAACACAAATGTAGCTTTGTCTTCAACAGAATTAGATAATATTTCCATGTGAGAAGCCAGTAAGGAGGTTATTTAATTAAAAAGACTATTTGATTTTGAAATTGAAGGCTATTTAATTTTGTAATTAAAAGTAATCCAGAAACAATTACTTTTTACAAAGATTGTCAAAGGGCATAAAACTTGTTTTGAATCCAGTGTGCCATAGGAACATATAGACATCAGATACCATTTTGTCAGACAGGGAGTAGCAGATAAATTTGTTGAAATTGATTATTTATAAATTGCTAAAATGCCAGCTGAAATTTTAACAAAAAGTCTAGGTTCTTTAAAGCATAAATATTTTAATTAACAACTTGGTATACTAGCTATCTCAATTTTTTTATGATTTTGTTAAGCAGAGGCGTTAGTATTATAATAACTATCCGTAAATATATGTGACTATCGCCATCTGTAGTAACTAATGTGTTTGTGTAACGTGCGTGTTATCAGGGAGCTCACCGGCTGCTGATACATCAAGTCAAACAAGGCTTACGTAAATTGTCAGAGGCGGAGACAGCGTTCTCACAATTTTAATTATTTTATTTTCTTGATTAGATATTCGCAATTCAAAGGCAGCTCAAAACCTAGTATACGTGGACCCCTAGCGTAGTTCGAGTCCTATCCGGTGGTTACTACCAGTTTGACCTCATCAGCGGTTCGTGTGGGGAAATTACACGAGCGGTGGCCGAGTCCATGGTTACCTGTGAACCGATAGAGGTGTTTGGAATAATGCGCAGTTCTTGGGAGTGAAACCTGGTTACATAGAACAAGCTGGTGGACTGGCTTTGACACATAATCATGTATTGGACTAGCGATTGAGTGATGCTTATGTCCATGGTAATCATTTTCATATCATAAACCACCTAATCATGTATTGGACTAGCGATTGAGTGATGCTTATGTCCATGGTAATCATTTTCATATCATGAACCACATAATCATTTTCTTGTTCATATTCATTTCCATATCATAAACCACATAATCATTTTCATGTTCATATTCATTTCCATATCATGAACCACATAATCATTTTCATGTTCATATTCATTTCCATATCATAAACCACATACATAATCATATATTGGACTGGCGAGTCAGTGATGCTTCCGTCCATGGTTATCATTTTCATATCATAAGCGAGATGATCATATATTGGACTAGCGAGTCAGTGATGCTTCCGTCCATGGTTATCATTTTCATATCATAAGCGAGATGATCGTATATTGGACTAGCGAGTCAGTGATGCTTCCGTCCATGGTTATCATTTTCATATCATAAGCGAGATGATCGCATATTGGACAAGCGAGTCAGTGATGCTGCTGTCCATAGTTATCATTTTCATATCATCCTTAAAATATCATATTATTGAAGTGTTGACGCGCGATGCACTATTGCTTTCGTCAACCGCAGACAGTTGGGACGCCTTCTGTCTGGTTTGATTACAGATGCAGGCCTGGTTTACGTCTCGTCGGAACCTCGCTACGAACAGTGGTGTAAACAGGAACTTTAATTTAGAGGGCCCTCACAGACTATTTTCATTTTATTTTTCACACGTTACATTACTTTGTATGTCTTTATGTGTCTTCAATGAGATTATCACAATCTCTTGCAAGTAACTATTCAGATTTCAGATGAAGTAAATGATTAGATTGATTCATCATCATTGTCATTTCGACCAAGTACCGATACAGCTGGATATAGTGGCAACCCTTCAGCTGCAGTCGCGACCCTTCAACTGCAGTTGCGACCCTTCAGCTTCAGTCGCGACCCTTCAGCTGCTTTGGCAGTCCTTCAGCTGCTTTGGCAGTCCTCCAACTGCTTTGGCAGTCCTCCGGCTGCTTGGGCGGTCTTCCGGCTGCTTGGGCGGTCTTCCGGCTGCTTTGGCAGTCTTCCGGCTGCTTTGGCAGTCTTCCGGCTGCTTGAGCGGTCTTCCAGCTGCTTTGGCGGTCCTCCGGCTGCTTCGGCGGTCCTCCGGCTGCTTAGGCAGTCCTCCGGGTGCTTCGGCAGTCCTCCGGCTGCTTCGGCAGTCCTCCGGCTGCTTCGGCAGTCCTCCGGGTGCTTCGGCAGTTCTCCGGCTGCTTTGGCAGTCCTTCGGCTGCTTTAGCGGTCCTCCGGCTGCAGTTGCTTCACTGTCAACTGGCCTTGCCGAGGAGCGCGCCGAGGACGACGCTTCGTCAGGATTGGCCGACTTAGGAAACACACTTTTTATTTGAACCGAACCTTTAAATTCCCGAACGCATCCGAAGCGATATTAAAGCTATGACGCTTGACTTGTTCTCTTTTAACGCGCGAAAGTATGTTGTGAACACGGCTTGTATTATTGTAAATAGAATTTAACTAATTTAAGGTGTTTTGGCTTAAGATAATAATTAGTTTGCTCTAGTTAAGGTTTTATTGTTATTTAAAAGTCCTGGCTTTATAAGAAAACTATATTCTTATAAGAATTTTATTAGAATCCTTAATATATATATACTGGACCTGTTAACTTCTTAGTTTTTAGGGCACAGTTTGTGGCATTCATTAATTAAGTAAAATGACAGATTTTTTTTTGTATCTGTATGTTGAAAGTGCGCTATACTTATAACAACATTAGTTTACTTATCTGTAATGTGATAGCAATTGCATTTATAGATTAAAATGTAAAATGCCTAGAATTGTACTGTTTTGTGTTTGTTTTGATTTCTCCCTATATATTTACTTACTGCTACATGATTTATTTTGTGTTTTGGGATTGATTGGAAACAGCGTTGTGAGATTTCGTTTATAATGAAATTAATTTATCTCTAACTACTTTTATACGCAAACATGTTTTGCAGTCAATTTAATTATATTTGCGACGTTTAGATGTGATATTTTTACAAAAAGCGACAAGTTCTGAAATGTTTAATAAATTATATGTTTTTGTAGTAGTAGCTTAATGTATAAAATGTATTAAAAAATATCATAAACATTAAAGAAATACTGTTAGGTTCGACATTGAAAAGTGTATAGGTAATAAAACTTATTAATTTCTAAACGATATTTTTAGGTTCGGTATATAAGCTTGCAATATTTTGAAATAAAATGTTCAATATTCTACTAAAATTGCAGTAACATTAAATCACTGAAATAATTCAATGCATATTTCTACATATTATTTATATTATAAAAGTTTATAAGTATGTAATGATGTTGGTTGCTTTTTCACACAAAAACTGCTTCATAAAGTCCAATAAAACATCACAGTGATGTAACTTATACATTAGTAGGCTTAGACTAAGTTGCCACTGTCACGCTCAATATGGTATTTTAACTGTTTTTACATTCATTAATGGTCGCACGTTTTAATATTTACGTAGGTTATTGAAAGAGAAACGGGAAAGTGTCTATGGAAACTTGAGTTACATATAAGATATAAACTATTATTAAGTATCCAATAATCTCGTGTAGATCCCGCAGGATCAGTAGGAAAGAAAGAAAGCATTAGTTTTCTATATGAAATCACGTGACACGGACTATAAAGTATAAACATCAATCTTATTTGTTATCATATCTACATATATCCTTACTAATATATGCTAAAGTAAGTGTCTATCTGCTACTTTTTCGAGCCTTAACTGTTGATGATTTTTTGTATAGAGACATATGGAACCCTTGGGACAGACAAAGGGTACCGACCTCTATCCCAAAACAATATAGATGGAATCATGAAGTGTAGTTCGGATTAAGGAGCTGTAATGTTTTTTTTTTTTAACTTTTATCTAGATCCCGAAACTATACGGGTTCAATTTCCGTAATGTCAGAGAACAACTCTGATGTCGATGTCGACGGAGTCGCGAGCAAAAGCTAGTATACTATAAGACGAAATCTTTTAGCATTCAATGGATTCACCGTGCGGGTGCCGGGTCTATGGCGGTGCAAGGAGAGGAGCTTCAACCCTGCCTGGGACTTGCGTCGAAAGGGAGTAACCTAGTGTGTATTTACCAAATACAATTTTATACAGTGTCTTTTAAGAAGCAGCAGCAGTACTATTGCAAAATTAATAACAATTAATAACCCCAATCGGAGATACTACCTAAGAAACCTATTGATCGATATGAAAAAAAATCAGCCAACAGAATAAAGTCGTTATCAAATACATAATGTATAACATAATTTACACGTTAAAAATATATATAAAAATATATATGTGAGGCAACAGAACCATTAAATTACAGTATGTACGTCTTTTAATATTTCTTTAAATATTCTATGAAAATATTGAAACTGAGACGATGTTTGATTTTGAAAATACCTACATATTTGTTTCCCTAAACTAACATTGTTTACCTTCATATTTTTTAATTTATTATTTAATGAACATAATATGGAAATATACAGTAAAAAGAATTACAAGAAAACAATGGTGGGACCAAGGTGGCCTTATCGCTTAAAAGCTATGGTTTTCAGATACAGACAATGTTCTGGTTACACAAAAGAAATACATACAGACCAATACTGACAAGATGTTATAACAATATTAATACTGTATAAAAAATAATAGATATACTACTATGCATCAATGATAAAAGATCAGATTAAAGCTCGGGGGTATGTATGTCTATTGTCAGGGCGATTCTATGAGGTCAGAACTAGATCTAAATGTCGTTGGGTCGGTTTCATTGAGTTTAGCCCATTGATGTATGAAGAAATATTCAAAATCTTAATTCTTTATTTAAATTTGAAAAAACAGCCTGTCAACTACTGTGACCCCCATCATTATGATTGAATCTGGATTATTCATTGCTTTAAGAATTTAGATCAATCGATTATTCTTAGGTATAAATTGTAATCAAATTAAATTTTGTAGCAATATCTATCTTCAGTCCTGTTTTTTCCCACTTCCGTAGAACTAGCAACATTGCTTTATGACAAGTAACTTGGTCTCTGTGGTACCAACTTGTTTGGATTATGTAGATTGTAAATGAACAATACCGTTACCCAACACAATTTTCTGACATTTTTTGCTTCGATTCCAACTTTGAATTTATATCAACATTGCATTTTATTGTTAACATCAACAAAAACAGATTTAAACAATGGTTTATTACGATGAATAATTTTCGTTTAGATGATGCTGTTAAAGATTTAAAAAATATAGTCGAAAACAATCGATGTGTCAATTGGTGAGATTGGTCTTCTATTTTGATCTTGTTGTGACTATATATTATTAATATTTTTTTGTATATTTAGTGATCAATTGAATGTGTTGAGCGTGAGATATCCCTGTGGTCACACGACGTGTAGTAATTGCGTTGCAACTGCTGAGGATTGTTTACTTTGTCTTACGCCACCCGAAGTTTCCACTCACTACATAGATGAACCTTCAAGTCTACGTGTCAAACATGCATCTGAACTTTTGACGGCCTTTCAAGAATTGTTTGAAGTCGATGGTAGTACAGTCATTCATGATTTTGATTCTTAATATTTCTTGAAAGTATTTATGCTTTTTTCGTTTTACAGTTTACAAAAGATGCAGACTCTCTGAAAAACTTAAACTAGAAAAGGAATTATTCCCAGAATGTATTCAAGTTTCCAGTAAATACACAAATAAAAGAAAAAGTTTTGAAAACAAAGAATCTAGAAAACGAAACAGAAAGCTTGCAAGTTTTCCTGGAGAAAACATTTCATTCAGAAAATCATACACAATGGAAAATATCGAAAACAATGTTGAACAGTGGTTAAATAAAAATGAAACATTTCAAAAGAATGTTAACAGTGTACCTCGTAAACCATTTACAAATTTAAATATTAATGTTCAAACACATAAAGATAAGAATAAATTGGTTAATCAAACTAGTAATAAGAGTTTAAGTAGGAAAAGAAGCCATTTACACACACTGAAAGATACCTCAAATGTGTCCAAAGTTCCATATAAGAAATTTAAGGTACAGTCTGAGAACAAAGGTGAACATAATTTTGACAATAATTTGACTGAGAACAATGAAAGTGGTATATTTTTTGAAGATGCCATAATTATAGATGATAGTCAAAGTGATGTTTTAGATAAAGATCGTCTTGCTTTAATGGCTGTTCTGGAGGCTGATAAAAATGATCTGTCTACAGATTGCGGCATCGATATATCTATGAATGAAAGTATAAAGAAAAATTGCATCAATCCACAAAATAATAGCCAAGATGTGATAAAAACTTATAAAGTTCCGTTTGTTAAGAAAAGCGCTATACTTGAAATTTGTAAGTTATGTAGAGAAGCCAATGATCAAGACAGTTCTCAGACTCCAAAAAATGTTACTGTTACTATTGATAATGATAGTTTTATAACAACTATAAAAGTGGTAGATTGTTCGGACAGCGTCAAAAATTCAACAAAATTAGCCGCTGTTCAAACTGATGACGAAAAAACCAAAGTTGATAAGGAAATAATTGAATCGAACCCTTCCAATAACTCACCGAACACTAGTTCTCGTGAGGTGAAATTAAAACCACAAGAAACGATGTATGATGTAGATCCAATACAAGATAAGGCAGTTGATAATAAGAGCAAATGTTTAATTATAGAGGAATCTGATTCCGACAGTGATTTATCCAATGTAGAAGGCAGTTCCTTTGAAGTGACTGCAGAATGTCATAATACAGAAAAAAATATGTAAGGTTAATTATATAAATTATGGAATAAACAATGTTTTTTGCCAACAATTATTTCATTATAGTTGGTGGCGACAATATTTAACAGTAGTGTGACTTTGTATGTGTCATTATTTGTAGTAATCAAAACTTTTTTTATTCATATGAATTTTATTATTTAATTACAAATTTATCCAGATCATCTCAAACCATTATGACTATTGTATTAATAATGGAAATTTAAATAAGTTTTATTTATGACGTCTTAATTTCTTTGCAGACACTATGATGTTTTGGGTGAACTAAATGATTATGAAAACAGAGGACGCCATGCTTTAAGAGAACATTCACCACACAGTTCCGACTCATCAGACAAAGAAAATTACGATCCAAACAAAATGAAAAGACATGACGCTAAAAAGAAGTGTTGTTATAAAAATAAATACTAAGTATATTGTGGGTTTAAAGAATATGTATGCTATTGACAGTTTTTAAATGTTTTAATTTAATATTTTATTAAAATTTTTATATAAAAATTTGAACCTTATTTTATTTTCCTTTACTCATAAAATTACTGTGCACTCAATAGTTTTCCTCAAATTGACAACTACATTATTCAATTGGGTATGTGATGTTTAAATTGTACAAAAGTATGGATTAACACAACAGCAGTTCCTATACTGAACTTTCAATGACTGTTACACAATGTAAAGAAATATTTCAGAGCTTATTTATAAATTTACTGAGTCACTTTCACTGACAACAGGTTATTATTTCAAACCTAACAACAGCCCTACTTAGATCAATATGCTAAAATTTCAATACGTTTTGTCGAATGGTAATCGATTTATCAGATTTTACTATTCCATTTTTTTTAAGCTTATCTATTTTAAGTATGTAAAAAGAGTGGTATTATAGAATTAAAAGTCGAAGACGTAACAATGACTGAATTCTTTAACCCTTCGCCGTTAAAGTTATGGGTCGTAAATAAAAGTAATTATTGGAGGTACGTGTGTATTGTCATAAATTTGCTACTTCGAGATCACCACCAGCCGGAGGATCCGCCGCCGCCGGACCAGCCACCGCCGCCTCCGCCGGACTTCCATCCGCTACCACCACCGCCTGACCAGCCACCACCTCCTCCGCCTGATTTCCATCCGCCACCGTCGCCAGACCATCCGCCTCCGCCTCCGCCAGATTTCCATCCGCCACCGCCGCTGGACCATCCGCCGCCGCCTGATTTCCATCCACCACCTCCTCCGCCGCTGGACCAGCCACCACCTCCTCCGCCTGATTTCCAACCGCCTCCGTAACCACCGCCTAAAAATAAAAACTGATCATTTTCCGCTCCATACTTATGTGTGAATTTAATGATAGCTTTAATAGGTCCATGCATAAACTTTTTGCGCTACTATAAAGCTCATAAGTCGAAAATTACAAGGTAGGTAATTATGTACTTTTTTCCCACTGGGGACCATTAAGGCTAGACTTCTACATTTTTAATATATGTATGTTAATTTTTTTCACAAAAGAATCGTGATTGGCGGTCCATTTCGTATTTTAGATAATGATTAAATTGATTTATTAAACATCTTCTTTCATATTTATGTTCATTCGTACTTCACATTATTATCATTTCGAAATTCGTATATCTGTTCGGTCATTAAGTGAATGGATGACCCTCTTATGCAGCGTTTTGACCTCTTCTGGGTTAAAGCAGCCAAGAATAATGTTTTTATTAATAATCTTTTTGTAAAGCATGAATTCCAGATGGCTTATAGGTACTATGTTACTTTCTTTTACTTTCCCGTTTTGCTATTTTTGATATTTGTTAAGTAATTCTGATATGCTTATTGAGTATATCGGTTATTATGGCTTGATTGTTTTATCTGTATATTGATTGTTAAATAAAATCTTACCGCCTCCACCTCCGCCGCTCGAGATAATCTTGATGATCTTCACTTCTGTTGAAAAAAAGCATTTTTTATTAACAATAGATACATGTAACAAAAAAATCTTTATTATATATATGTCACTGGACTTCTCTCAAACGACTGGACCGATTTCGATGAAATTTTTTGTGTGTGTTCAAGGGGATCTGGGAATGGTTTAGATTCACAATTTTGTCCGCTGGACAATGTCTTTTTAATAAGTTTTTAATTTTTTAGTAGTTGTTGATACAAACGTTTCTTTTGACATTAGATTCGACAACTAACTAATATGTCAATCATTCTGTCGCACTTCAAAACACGGAGATTTATGACTTAATAGGTAAACTCCAAAAATGTAAATACCTAAAAAACGTAACAGATATTTCTTGATTATAAGGCGATACGAAGTTCGCCGGGTCTTCTAGTTGTTATATAATTGTCGGGAAGATACTTACGACCACCTGATCCGCCGCCATGGCCGCCTCCATAGCCACCGCCGCCTCCTGACCAGCCACCACCTCCTCCGCCTCCTGACCAGCCACCACCTCCACCGCCACCTGACCAGCCACCACCTCCTCCTCCGATATACCCGGCGTGGACCGCCGCTGCGAGGGCGAGAAGACAAACGAAGACCTGGAACATAAAATACATTAAAATAACGCTTCCTATTTAAACCGTTGACATATATATTGACAGTTTACAATATACATATTTAAATTATATATGAATAATATTCTTGTATAATAAATACAATGAATGTTTATTGTATTTGTATTATGAGAGTATATTACCTTCATGTCGAAGCTATGCGTTAACTGTCTGATGTGAGGCTGTTAGTGTGTTATATACGAATCCGACGCCCCACTCGCTGCTGTTGGGCCGTGAGACGAGCTAGAGAACGGAAGCTCTTCCTCGGCTTGGCTGTGATGCAACCCATTGTGCCTGCATCTTAAATGAACTTAGATTATACCCGGTCTAATTGTCCACAATTATGGAAATACGATCAAAACTTAAAGCGAACATTGAATGATCAGTAATTAGTTATTACTTAACTTGAGCGTGAGATCTATTGTCACGTCAAAAGTACTTTATTTGGGAAAAATATGAAATTTTTATGTTTTGAGACATAAAATTCTTTTGATGTCATTGTTTTATGGAAGTCAGGCGTTGTGTTAATCGTACTTTTGATATAAGTACTGAATAAATATAAAATGGTTGAATACAGATGTACTTTAGGTAATTATTTTTTCTTATAATACGAGTACCTACTACTTTTAAATTATTAATCACGGTAAATATTAAACTACAAATATCTCATAATAGTTCCTACCTTTCATTTAATGCTTTAAACTTGATAAAAGCCTTTAGAGAGCTTTGCGTAATACGTATATTTGTTAATAAAATGTCTCGAACATTTAGTTTATCTAACGCACTTCTACAAGGAAAACATTAGTCACCATTACCACTCTCCTCTCAGAGTTCACTATAACATATGGAAGAAGTAATTTGAGACATCATTATCTCAATTAAAACCATAAAATTGTAGTTTAGGAATTGTAAGGAGTGCTAAGAGTAGAAAAAAATATTTTTTATCGAGTCCTATATATAATTTTTCAATTAAGACGTTACAGCGGTTTTTTTTTATTTTACTCATCATAAACTTCAGGTAACTTGTTTTTTTGCTTTTTATCTCTTCATATGATATTTTTTTTAATATTCATTGATGCAATATAGTATTTTTTATTTTAAAAGGCATGTAATTTTTTTATAAACTATTAATGTGAATCTGGCCTTCACTTGTCTTTATTATATCATATATTTAAACAAAAAGCTTGTACGTTATTTATGCTGAGAACTAGCTACACTAAGTGCATAATTGTTTCACGCTAAAGCTTAATGAATCTTTAATAATACAGGCTATGATAGAAATAATTTATTTTTATAACATTTTTCACTTTATTTTGTTACCTACAAGAAAATAAGCAGCAATCGTCCTTACTGTACAATTTATAGATAAGATTTTTTTTTCTAATTACTCACCTTTCGGATTTATCGTTTATGAGAATTGGATGATATTTTGAGATATCGTTTCGTTTGGTAATAAATGATGTTGATCTTTTAATCATAATGTAACCTACATCTTCAATACAGATAAAACAAAATTGTAATTAATTGAGTGTCTGTATAAAACATTTTTTAGATAAATAATTTTCGATCATAATAAACTTAAGGTGACAGAGCCTAGCTGTGGTTAAGTAACTACAGCTCGAAGGTAGGCTGGCTCGACTCGAGAAGTGCCACCCTCTCACAGAAGATCGGCGTCAAGTAGTCTGTAATCGTTGCGTTTCGTCCGTTGAGTGAGAGAGCCGGTTTCCCTTTCCTTTTTCCACCCTTTCCAGCCTATTCCCTTTTCCTATCCTTTCCTCCTCCGTTACCACGGTTAAGGTCGGCAATGCACCTGTAACATCTCTTATGTTGCAGATGTTCTTGGGCGTAGGTGACTACCTTCCATCAGGTAGACCGCCTGCTTGTTTGTCCGTTTGAAATAAAAATTATGAAAAGAAAAAACATATGTACGCAAAACAACAAATAATATTTATCTCTCTCTCTCTTATTATTTTATCTCTCGTTGCCTGCCTGAAGTTTTTTTTATATCAATGACGGAAAATACAATAGGTCGATTTTTTTTATATAATATATTTTTAATGGAAAAGATTAATAATGGAAATTTAAGAATAAAAACGAGATTAAATAGAAACTGGAGATAAATATAAACGGTAAAAAAATTAAACCTATGTTCAATTAAATTTTTCTAGAAGCTATTTTTGAAGACCATTTATAAACATTGATACCTAAGTTAATGACAAAACTTTCATTTTTATCATTAGATAGAAATTATATGTAATTGTCTATGAGTTAGCGTACCTGTAAATTGGTATATGTAAGAGATATTGGAAAGGAACTTAACATTTACTGACTATTAATAATCTATTAGGTATTTGAGTGTAGTCTCAAAGTGAATTATACATTAAGACTGATTATTATATCCTGTCTATTCGTCGTATACAAATCAATAAAATCAATTATGTCTCTTATTTATTACACATATAAAAGTTATTTTATCGCTTTTTCATTTTTAGGTCAACAATATATTTATGAAAAATATAATGTTTAACTAAAAATTAAAAAATAATAATAAGGGCAATTAACTAGTTTTGTCTCTCTTCAATATAAGAAAATTGAAATTTTCCTCTTTTTCGTGTAATCTGTAAAAACTAAAAGAATAACAGGGTTACACAAAAAAAAGCTATAGGGACTAGTCAAGTTAACTCAGATTTTACTTCTGTAATTGTTTTGTAACATTTTGTGATCATAATTTTAGTGTTTGCAAGTACTTAGTGTTATGAGTAAAGTCGTCTGCAACTAAGTCGCTAAATTATAAATAAGTTATGTAAATATAATAAATTAAATATATAATTTAATGCGGTACTTAAAATTATTCTTCCTGTGTTTCAAGTTTGAAGTACTAAAGTTTGCTCATCATAAATTTATGTACCATTGTTTCAATTACAAGGCACAAAATCAATATACCTAATAACATGAATTAATTAAAAAAATCTTAACAGCGCAATCTTACGACAAAGTGATCCTTTTTGATTTTTCTTTTATAGAAATGTATTCCTTTTATTTTGAATTAATTTAACTACAGTTTAGACATATTTTTTTCCTTTGAAATCGACTTTAAATATTGGTATTCTTTTGGAAATATTTTTTTGCATGCAATCTATATTTATACTTACTAATAAATAAACTTTACGTCTCTATTCGTACCTAATTTCAAAATTAGAGCTTTTCACTTCACTGAAGGCCTCTGAAAATACGTAAGTTATTTATGTGATACATACAGATTTTCGTATAGATCTGTCTGTTTGTTCGTTTCTCCTAATATCTGCAACAGCTGAATCTGAATTTTGATGGAAAATTTAATCGTACTTATATAATATAAATAGTAGCTTGGCTACTCACTAACCGGCACAAGAAAATAAGTTCCTTCTCAATTCGCGTTATTTTTTGTTACACTATTAATAGGTACTTACAAAATATATTTTTATTCTGTACAGGGCATTGTTCTTAGATAGTCATAGTTTCGCAGAGTTAAGAATTTGTAAGTAATTTTCGTACAATCGAAAGAAAACTTCTAAATACCCAAAGCCTTCAGCAACAGCTCCTACCTATTATAAGATTATTCTTATGTGTATTGTTAAAAGGCGCCCTTTAAAGTTGGAAATTCTAGGTAATTTATAAAGTAAATACATATTTTTTGTCCAGTAAATTACTGCTCGTTATTGGTGTCACATAAGCGCATCTTGGTTTTACATAATTATTTTACACATTGCCTTCTATCTATGTTAGTGACTGCATGACGTGACAGGTAAATTAATTTAAAAATGTGATTATCGCAATACATTATAATATTAACGTAGGTTATTAAACGAAAAACGGGAAACTTAAGAACCTAGTGAGATTGTGTAAACTTGGAGTAAGCATAATTTAATTTTTATAAAGTACTTAGTAGTTCTTACCTTAGTACTTTCTGAGATTACCATAAACTTAAACTATTCATTTTGACTATAGCTCCCCAGTTTAATACATTTAATAACAGATTGTTGTTTTATATACTTATAACATAATGTATATTTATATATGTAGGAAGAAAAACTTTCTGGTACCTAACCTCAGCTAAAGCAGTTTTATTAAATTTGGTGCCTTATTTTGTAAATGAATAAACATTTTGTAAGCTATTATTACGTTACCTTTAAAAAAAATAATTATGTATACCTACATATTACGGATATCGGCAAGCTTTGCTGTGTACTCTGTACTCATGTAAATGTATGCATGCATTTTGTTATACATAAAATTTGAACAGTATTTAGATTATTTTGATATATGTCAAAATATCTACTTTAATAAACAGATTGACCAATTTGACGCTATTCTTTTCTAAATCGTACCTATGTATAATTAAGTATTACATCCCAGTGTGAGCATTGAGCACGAATGTGAAACACCGTGAATCGCGTGAGGCTGGAATTACAAAATGTTGACAACCAACATCAACAAAAGACGTAGATTAAGCTAGGTTTCTATTAACCTTTCTTCTAATATATAAGCCTTTTGTTATAATTTTGTTAATATAAAACTTTAATGATTTTTGTCAACAATTACTCAGGAAATATTATAGTGGGTATATTATACTAAAAATACCTGACTATTTTGAGGTCCATGTAGTTTAACCCCACAGGTCACACGATAGAACACACGCAGCGTTATGCAAGAATAATGCATTAGTATTATTTTTTTGTTTTTATTTGTAATAGAACATCATTATTTCACATGAAGTCTTTAAAAAAAGATATTTCTAAGTTTGTTTAATAGCAATCCCTTTTAAGAAATCAATATCCCATATGGAGCTAACATACCAAAAGTCATAGAATGGTGTCAACGGAGGCAGTTATTATTTTAAAAAGTGCCCATTCTACCGGTTTTCCTCCCCTTATAATAAAAAATGAACTAATTCTACTGTTTAGAATTTTCAGTGACGAAAAATATCTTAATATTTTTTTTGCCTAGAAAATATTACAAACGAAACAATTAACACTTATTGCATTACTACGAGCAAAATTCAAGACTTTACTTCCGATGCATCAGAACAATCATCAAAATAAAAAACCTTCGAAAAATAGAATACAAATTTACATTTGGAATGGTTGTTTAAAGGTCACAAAAGCGAGTAAACACTAATTACAACCCACTGATCACAAACAGCCAGCTTCATCAAGGCTGTGTTTGGTTTTCGGGTTTCGCAACCCAATGGCATAAACTGTAATGTATCAACAAAAAATACATTAATAAAAATAAATATATCTTCAATAA